AAGTGAAACAATGTAACTTTGCAAGCAATACAAGCAATGAAATAAACCTACTTTCATTTTTAACCCAATACAGGGTACATTCATTAGAAATATTCTGCTAAAAGCAGACTTCATAACGGTAAATCATAGTAGTGCATGGCTGGCAAAAAAACGTTGAGGAGCTGATTTATGGTAACTCTAGGCACCAAAAGTTCATCCAGCTTTATTTTTTTCCTGTCCTGTATTTGGTGAGCAGCAGTTACTTGGTTAAGTTAAAAAGTTGAATGCCTTAACTGACTGCCCGTTTTAATTTGAGTAAATATCGCATATTACCAATATCTCCAAGCTTTTCAGAAAAGACCTTGGTCTACAATATTGACCACATTTTAAGTAAAACCCCAGAAGCAGATCCGTGAATCTACAGAATATAAAAATACAGGTTTCTAAAAAATTAACCAGAGGGTCGGGGGTCATATGTGGGGACTGAACTCACAGTATTCAGTGGGTTTATGGACACCTCCCACTTTGCCGCTGGGCAGGATCTGCAGATGGAAGCCAATCCCAACACGGCAGTAGAGCAGCTGTTGCTTAACCCCTTCTCTGAATGGATACGGACTCGAACCTGCATGACGAAAGGATGATAGAGTGTTTGGAGCATGCAAGTTTTCTTGGCCACCAAGTGAACCACAATGTCTTGATGTTGTGCCCAGGGTCTCCCAATAATCCATGACAGTGAGGAAACATAATGGAACTTTATGACAGCATACTGTACATTGTGAAAAAATGTACAACTATTACTAATAACATGATGGACAGTTAAATTCTCTTCACGTTGTTCAGTAACTCAGAACAGTGTGACAGTAATGGTCTAAATGCTCAGTGGTCTGAACCGAAACAACACTTTTCTACCTTCTCCTTTCCACCTGTGGGTGCCCCTTGTCTCCTGTTTTTGGTATTCATGGACAGGATATCAAGGCGCAGTAAAGCCAATAAAAGAGTTTTCCATGTGTTCGCTAACCTTTTTCTTTCAGCAGGGATTCCCTCATGTGCAGCTTCCAGAGGCCCCTGAGGTGAGTGCTGAGGTCCTCACGTGAGACCATTGCTTCTTGTTTCTTTGCGCCCAATGGCCAAGCACACACAGTTGGAACCAGGAGCAGCAAAAGGCAGGGCAGCAGGGAGAAAACCTTCATCTTGAAACACATCAGACACCTGCCTGCAGACCAACCACTGATGTCCTACAAACGGTCATTTCCACTCATGAAAACTCTTGGGTCTGGTGATCCCATCTGTCCTGTAGGTCCAGGTTAGGCCTTCTGTTCCTCTTCTGGTCATCCACACTGGCTCCTCCACTCATCTTCAGTGTCTATTTCTACACTGAAGCACTGACGAGGACACTGTAGATATGTAACTGCGCAGTCATTATCAGTGTTATATCAGTGATCCTACTAACAACAGCCTCAACACACGACGTTTACTGAAACTGCTGCAGAAAACAGCTTGTTGTAGTTTCACTAACACAGCTTGTCCAGTATCAACCTACTGGAACAAATCAAGCTTATATGAGTGGATTTCAGCTACTGAAGGATAGCAAAAATTACAGTGAGACTAACTTCATTTTTTGGATGTGAAGGTGGACATGTTTTCATGTCACCCAATCAAAGCTGTGACGGCCGAGAGAAATGCATACTGTCCGTTCAGAGATTGGAGCGGGAGCTGAGCTGATAATGAGAGCAGAGGCAAAAGAACACAATCACAATACATACACAAACCCAAGTTCAGGGATTATGTGATGCGAACCTGAACTGACTCATGTTCATGTTAAATTTGCACAGTATTTTCTAGGCTGACAAATACACTACACGAAGAAAAGTATGTTGACATGTGGATGTTGATTCCATATGTGATGACTCTGTGGAATTCCTTTTTCTTTTTTAATTCAAATTTACCTCTCAGTCCCCTGGTATTTCACAAATTTGCTTTTACAATATTGTGGTGTCAAGATACTAAAAATGCAAATAAATAAATAAACAAACAAACAAACATAAATGAAAAAGTTGCACAGCATCACAAGCATGTCACATCATAATTTAACATTCAACAACTGTATGGCTGGATGCAAATTTCAGAGGTCAATGTTGTAATTCGTGGTTTGACTTAAAGGTGCCAATGTTGTGTCACTATTCCAGTGTCTACCCCCAGGTACGGCAATATAGGAGTGGGCTTGTGCGGATTATGTCAACGTAACATCATGACACCACAGCGGGTTGCGGACAGTTCCTTTGATTCCTCCAGCTTTAAGTAATTCTTTATCTGCAAATGATGAGATGTTAACTTTTGTGCCATTCATGAATCGGATCATTTAAAAGATAAACCAGAACATGACAGTGACAAAGTAATTCATCGCATATATCACACAATATTACTTCTAAATGGCACAATGGTCAAAATATGTACAATTAGAACCCCAAGAAAAGTTAGGACTGATGACAAATCTCAGTACATGAGGTCACAAATTTTGTCCTGCATGCAGACACCCACAGAGGGATCAGCATGGACCCTTGCAGACTTGGTTGGATGACAAAATGTATGCCATGCATATAGTTGCACACAGTTTCTAACTTGTGAACATATAGAAAGCATGAACTGGCCTTGATGTGACTGGCAAAATAGATGTGAATCAGTGTGTGAGACACTGGCCCGTCTAACTTTCTCTCTGAGCAGTCATGTCTGTTGTAAATACTGCCAAGTTCACAGTACAGCCATTGTTTTTTAAATCATGTGTCTGGTGAGTTTGTCAGAGCATTCTGTTATGAAGTCAGTAATTTTGTGGTGCAGAGCAGCAGTTTGGAAATGGCTATTACGTGACTTCATGTTAACATGTAGTGTTCATGGGCTGAGCTTTAGTCACTATTTTGTACTTGTTCTATTGCCTGATAACAGAAACAGAATGAGAACAGCTTTATTTAGAATTCTGCTGTCATAAAATCAGGAGCAGGAGAGAAGCAAACAGCTGATAGGTTTAGGTTTCACTGAAACCACACCAGGTGACATGAAAACACAATAACCCACTCAGTCCTTGTTTATGGGCATCTTATTGCTCTTAACGTTTGTAGCATCTGTGAATGTTCCACTGCATTGAAGTTTCCACAGAGCTCTTCCCAGTGAACAATCAAAGCTAACGGTAATGTCAGCCACTGTAGCTGCACAAGGTGCTAACGATTTTCCACTTGTTGTGGGGACACTGCCATAAATAATTAAAGTCATCCACTGTGTGTTCAGTTCCTCAGATGCTGGGTGTGCATAAATACTTCTGTTCACTCTGGCAGTCACCAGCAGAACATTTGATGAGCTTTGCTTGTGGCTCAGACATTGTAGAGTTAGCAGAACCAGCTCCAGAAAGTACACAAACCTGGTGGACAGTGAGGCAGCTGCTCATTCAGAATGGCTCACATTGAAGCAGTAAGGGGCTATGATTTTGCTACATTTTTAGCTAACTATTGATTATACAGTTTCCATGTAGAAACTGGAAAAAATTCAGACTGGCTTGTAAAGCTTTATAGAAGTGGCTTTGTTGAAACAGGATAACAAAAGGACAAACAGGACTTGTACATGCCGCCCTTGGGCAATGTCATTAGGAAACACTGCACAAGCTTTCATTGGCGTTTCATTTATCAATTAAGTCAGATGAAACAAATCAGTAAGTCAAACTTCAAGCATGTCCAAAGGTCATAAAGCCATACAAGCGCAGGAAGACCTGTAATTTTCACATTTATCTCGGTTTTGTCTGACCAATAAATATAAATCAGGCATCTTGTCATGTTCATCAGCAAAGTTTAATCTTGCAGCTTTGTACCAGACAGCTAGCAAGGTTTTTTTTGTTTGTTTCTTGGTCACCGTCCTTAGAGGCTGAGATTATGTATTGTCCTTCAAAGTGTATGAGCTGCCACAGAAACTCTGATCTCCACTGGTAACCCCTGTGCCACCTGTGATGTCCCTGCCCATGTGTTTTCCACATCTAGATTGTAGAAGTAGCATATTATCCATGGTGTCATTTTAGGAGGACAGAATCTTTGACTCGTGGTACTATGGCTTGTTTTATACCTTTGATTGCTGCTGTAACTGTGTTTCCACAGACCTTTAGTTGGTCGACGATCTTCCTGTATCCTTTTCCATCTTTGTCATGTCTCACACTGTTGATTCTTTCCTTTGGGAATTCCTTTCCACATGAAGCCTTGATGTAGTCGTGCAGTCACAGCCTATAGATCCAAAACTGAGAAAGTGCTGGTGTCTACAGGTCGATGCAGTTTTGCTGATTGGACGTGACAGGTGAACTTGGTTTAGTTTCAGTCATCATTCATTTTCTAACTTGTGTAACAGGTGTAGCCACTTGTTGTACTTGGGACCTGTATTTTCAATATAATTTTTCTAAAGAATTATTTGTTGCTATTTGCCCTGCAAATACTCTATTTGTCAACTCAGAAGTAAAGCTGTTACTGAGCAGTGATGCATTGTAGGATCATCTGATATTCTAGGATATTTCACAGAAGAGTACTCACCTCTGTTGAACACTGTGTATAGCACTCAGATATTCTGAGAGTCCACAATCGAGCCAAGTCCTTGTGAAGCACTTTGGACTGCATTTGACTTGCAATAACGGTATTATCTAAAGTTTGATTGAAGATTATATATTCCCACTGTTGCTCTGGTGTTAAGCTTAATAAACTGTTTTATGTTGTTGAGTTAACCATAATCCGCAAAATGAATCTTGAAATATACTCATATACGCAGTCTTCTATATCCACCTCCAGAGCTGGTAGATGTCCTAGTTGTATCCACTGTGTTTATTTGGAAAGCTTTTTCATGTGTACCAGGAGATTTAAAGCGTTCGACAACACACAGGATGTTTTCTTCACAGATTCATTATGTGACTTTTTACTACACTCTGGTCACTTGTGATAGCACGCTGACTTCAATGAGCAGTGTCTGACAGTAACAACCTATCAGAGATTAGTAAAGCCAAATGTATTTCAAGTTTTAATAGAAGCATACTTTTATTCACATAACACTGATCATACATTGTCATTGGACGACGACAGAGGCTATACCTATAAGACAAACTTCTCACGTATGCAAGAACAGTGTCAATGGCAAATCATTCATTTGAAGCTGCATTTGGAAACATCAAACATCCACTCTTTTGATGGTATCTCTTCTCTGTTGCAGCACCACTTTATGATCTACATAAAAATGTGGGAGCACATTTCACAACTGGTGCAGCTTCCAGTACAACTTAATATTAGTTGAGTTCTGATTAAATCAGCTACAAAGAGCTTTATTTGTACAGCCCCACAGCAAAAAGTGGCCAGACATCATTAAACACGCCGTGACTTCTTGACTAGATATCAGCATATACTGGCAGTGCAGTGAAGCTTAACACCCAGGTCTTGGTCTGTTACTAACTGTGTCAGAAAATGTGGAATGTTACAAAAACACTTTATACTGGTATAGTTCATCTGTGATCAGTTTCCATATTTCACTTTAAACAAAAACACATGCCAACAGTAACATCTTGGCTAAGAGGCTCCCTTAGCTCTCAGCTTGGACAGCAGCATCTCATTCTTCCGACACTCCTGGTGTTGGGGGAAAAAAGGAATATTTGTCATTACTGTTACAAGGCATTCACAAGATTGTATTTGCAAAGTGCTGCTTTGCCTTTAAAATAGTTTTTTCTGCTATCTGATATACAGTTCATTCTTTGAATAATTTTTAGATATTTTTTGACCAGTGGCGTTGATCTGTTATCAAATATAAATGTGTCAAATTATAATGATCAAAATGCTTAATGAGGTTAACTGTGTGCCCCTCTCCTGCATAACATGATCATTCACATGATAACAAAAAATAAAACCCATACAGCTCATTTTGGTAGCTTTTAAGTTCACACAGTGATAGTTTGAGTGTTGGGAAGTGGAGAGAGTTTGTAACTAAAGTGTGCTGCATATTGCTCCTATGTTTTGTGGCAGTCAGATAATTTCTGGAGCATGAATATTTATAAAATTGTCATATTTGTAATATTATCATGATATCATTATTTCATTTTTTAAATATTATGGTTATTGTCAATACTGGTATATACACTAACCAGCCACCTTATTAGGTACACCTTGCTAGTACCGGGTTAGACCCCCTTTTGCCTTCAGAACTGCCTTAATCCTTCATGGCATAGATTCAACAAGGTACTAGAAACATTCCACAGAGATTTTGCTCCACATTGACATGATAGCAAGACGCAGTTGCTGCAGATTTGTCAGCTGCACATCCATGATGCGAATCTCCCGTTCCACCACATCCCAAAGGTGCTCTATTGGATTGAGATCTGGCGACTGTGGAGGCCATTGGAGTACAGTGAACTCATTGTCATGTTCAAGAAACCAGTCTGAGATGATTGGCGCTTTATGACATGGCTGGAAGTAGCCATCAGAAGATGGGTACACTGTGGTCATAAAGGGATGGACATGGTCAGCAACAATACTCAGGTAGGCTGTGGCGTTGACACGATGCTCAATTGGTACCAAGGGGCCCAAAGTGTGCCAAAAAAACATGTCCAACACCATTACACCAACACCAGCAGCCCGAACCGTTGATACAAGGCAGGATGGATCCATGCTTTCATGTTGTTGACGCCAAATTCTGACCCTATCATCCGAATGTCGCAGCAGAAATGGAGACTCATCAGACCAGGCAACGCTTTTCCAATCTTCTATTGTCCAATTTTGGTGAGCCTGTGTGAATTGTAGCCTCAGTTTCCTGTTCTTAGCTGACAGGAGTGGCACCCGGTGTGGTCTTCTGCTGCTGTAGCCCATCTGCCTCAAGGTTCGACATGTTGTGTGTTCAGAGATGCTATTCTGCATACCTTGGTTGTAATGAGTAGTTATTTGAGTTACTGTTGCCTTTCTATCAGCTCAAACCAGTCTGGCCATTCTCCTCTAACCTCTGGCATCAACAAGGCATTTGCGCCCACAGAACTGCTGCTCATTGGATATTTCCTCTTTTTCAAACCATTCTCTGTAAACCCTAGACATGGTTGTGCTTGAAAATCCCAGTAAGTCTGAAATACTCAGACCAGCCCGTCTGCCACCAACAACCATGCCACGTCCAAAGTCACTTAAATCACCTTTTTCCCCACTCTGATACTCAGTTTGAACTGCAGCAGATCGTTTTGACCATGTGATTGGCTGATTAGAAATTTGCGTTAACGAGCAGTTGGACAGGTGTACCTAATAAAGTGGCCAGTGAGTGTCGTTATAAGGGGAAGAAGATACGTACATATGTCTCTATGTCATTACCTCCTCCTGTTAACAGGTTACTTCTTAAACCAAGAATACTGGACAGTAGCTTTTTGTAATATTCAGATATTAATACTAACCCTGAAAAAAATAAATAAAATCTAGAAACCTATAGCACAACAGCACAAGTAATTTCATGCAAAATGTCGTGGCAGACATTTCCATAGCATGACCCTGGTTTCTCACTCATTACTCAGTTATTTTATAGTGACATCACAAACTAAGAGTCAGTTGTCTAATAAACACTTAATATTCTCATTTTAGGTACATCCAGCTATAACTAATTATGTCTAATACGACAGTCCTTCAATATGCTCTACCTTGAGTTCTAATGCCCCACTGAAGCAGTTTTCGAGAGGAGCTGATTTAGCTTTACAGTGGCTACAGTGGTAAAAAATAAAGCAATAGCAGGTTGGCCTCAATGCATGATTCAAATCCTTGGCAAAAGTTGACATTTGCATGTGCTATCTTGCTGCTCAGAGCTGGCTGTGTTTGTAGAAAACAGTTTCATACAGATAGTAGGGGGGAAGGACAAAGCCACCTGAAATGACTTATACCTGCATCCCACATCAGTTTCTTTCTATCAGTTAAAATACCATAGTATGATTCCAATACACAGTTGAAACCAGAAGTTTACATACACTGTAAGACATAAAACCATTTTTTTCTCACTGTCTGACATTAAATCAGACTAAACATTTCCTGTTTTAGGTCAATTAGGATTACCAACATTATTTTTATTTGCTAAATGCCAGAATAATGAGAGAGAGAAATTTTTATGACTTTCTTCAAAGTCAGAGGTTTACATACTCTAAGATTACTTTACCTTCAAACTATTTGTTGAAGGCCAGATGATCCTAAAACAGGAAAAGTTTTGTCTAATTTAATGTCAGACAGTGAGAAAAAAAAGTTTTTATGTCTTTTCATACAGTGCATGTAAACTCCTGGTTTCTGTTGTGTGTTTACTGAATGGTCGCATTCTTCTTTTATTATAATGACTGTATTCTGACTTTAAATGTCCTCCCATACACATAATGAAGCATATGTGTGGTGCTGATATGTGTTTTTGTTACCTCTTTAAACTCCTTGACAGTTTTGAAGTACAGCCTCTGCTTGTCAAGCAGCTCCAGGTACTCATCGTTCAGCTGATCTCTCCTCATTTTGTTTTCCTGCTTTTTCTTCTCCATCTGGAAAATAAACAGGCTTTAACACTTGAGCAACAGTAACAAGTGAAAAATTGTGCTCACATGTACACTATGATCCCAGTTATGAGGCTCATACCTATTGTAAACAAATTCAGGATATTTACATGTAGCACAGAGAAACCACTTCATTTATATTCTCATTTACATCATAAATACTAATATCCTGGTTACTGATTACGTTTGTGCTGTTTCTGCAAGAGTCTGTAATGTTTACAACACAAATTGGCAAATTATATTCACTTTCCTGTAACCGCCTAACTTGACGTAATGACTTTGTGACGAGTAAAACTGAGCGCCCTTTGGCTCATCATGGGTTCAGCACTCTTCAAAGTCAACATGGCAAGGCAAATTTGCATTATTCACATTACTGACCTGAAATTCTCTCTACTATACCAAAAATGTACCGAACATGACTCCCAAAACAAAGTTTATACCAAACTGTGAATTTTATATCCCGTTACACATCTAGTAGGTAGTAGGAAACGGTAGATGCTGTGGGTGCTGGAGTCAGACAACAACATTATGTGGAATGCGTGCAGGAAATGTAGGTGCAGCAACAGTCCACTGAGAATTGTGTAATTGAATACACAGGGAGGGATGGTGTGGAGATATACTTCATCTGAACTGATGATGAGCAACAAATCACAGACAATCACAAGCAAGAATGTAAGCCATCTCACAGATAATTTGGAATGAACAAGGAAGCACCTCACACTAATCCAAGTAACTCAAAGACAGAAATCCAGAGGTATACACAGTTCAGGGGAAAATAGTGCTAGTGTATTTTACATTAACAACATGATAATGTTATGGTTGTGGAAATGCCCACACCCAAGTTTCACAAAGGCTAACTTTAGTTTGTTTAGGCTCACATAGCAATAGCTCATAATATGAAGCGAATGGTATGATAATGTCAAATCATTCATTAGATTTTTGTTTCTTTATGGAACACAATTTAGTGACAAAAATTGTGGACTTTCAGATTTATACTTTCGCAACATTCTCATAACAGCCACACTTACGAAAAGGGAAGCCAAGCTGTGATGACAGAATGATCCCTTTACAGAGAGACTATTACCTTAATGCGACTCTGTTTAATTCCCTCCACTATTTGTTCCATTTGTCTGAGGAACTGCTCCTTGGCTGCTGCAGACGACATGGCTCTGGACAGAAGTATAGTAGTTTAGAACATATTCACTGAACACAGCAAAGAAACACTCTGACAGACGCTGCTGCTGAAACAAAGCTGTGGTCTTCCCTATGACTACATCAGTGTTTCATGTTTCATACAACAAATGACAGTGTTTATACTTACTGTTGGAAGTTGTCATGAATGGAATTCAGCAAATTCACCTAAAGAAATAAACATATTTTTTAACAGTTATATTTAGATATTTACCTTTAATTTGCTTAATTAATCAAATATATTCATATTATATATTTTATATTTTACAAATGGAGAAGCTGCTGTAGCACGGAGTACCTAACTTTTGTTTACAGCACATAAATGTAAAAACCATATAAAAGGTCCACGAACAGAAAGAGCTAATGTCTTTACCTAAGTGATCTCCAATCCAAATGGTTGTCAAAGTTGTCAAAAGAAGCGATACTAACCAAAAAGCAAGTAGTTTGCAACACTAAACATTGCCAAGTATTTTACATGTTGCTGACAAATGACTGCTGTGGTAGCTTGCCTCCTTCTCCAGGTAGACCTTCTTGTCATCCAATGTGTTATACAGCGTGAAGAACTGCTTTGTTTCTTTGTGTGTAGCAGAAACTGAAAGTCACAAGAATGAGCGCAGATTTAATATCTTACATGTTTTTTTTAGAAGGCCATTTGTGAAAGGAGAACAGAGTTTTCTGATGACAAATGCCGATTAGACCAGATGCAAATCAGAAACCCACCTAGGCTGTAGAGTTCGATAAATCTCTTCTGGTACTGTGTCAGTTCGGCCCGGCTTGGCACCTCATCAAGCTTCCTCTGCAAGATGGCGATCTCACGGTTTCTCCGAGCCTGTGTAGAATGAAGGGAATCTGAGTGATTCATGTTAAAGCAGTTTTTTAAATGCCAAAAGCTCATAGAAAATGATATAACCAGTGGTGAAAGAACTATTTCGATCATTTAGTCAAATAAAAAATGTAGTATTTCAGTGCAAAAATAATCCATTACAGGTCCTACATTCAAGCTTTTACTCAAGTAAAACTCAAAAAAATGTACTGACAGTATTAACATTTCATTTTACAATAATGAACTATGGAGCACCTACCAAAGAGTTCCACTCCAGCACGTTTATCTGATAAAACAATAACTACATTTAAGGAAATGATTCCACTATTATTTACTTCAATGCCAACACAACGGAGAGCAGCTCCTCTAATCTTAGTTCCACACAGGTGGATAATCTTGTTGATAGAACTGCAGCTTTACTGCGTTCATCAATTGATGCTGTTGCCCCATTGAAAAAGCAGCCCACAAATAATAATAAAATAGCTCCATGGTATACTCAACAGCTGTACATCTTAAAACAGAAATCAAGAAGGCTGGAAAGACAGTGGCACTCTTCAAACTCAGAAGAATCTCAGTTAGCCAATAAAAAAGTGATCCACATGACGAGAGCTGCTTATTATTCATCCTTAATTGAGGACAAGAAGAACAACCCCAGGTTTCTGTTCAGCACTGTAGCCAGGCTGACAAAGAGTCACAGCTCTGTAGAGCCTGAAGTTCCTTTAGCTCTCAGCAGTGAAGACTTTATGACCTTCTGCATTGATAAAGTTTTGAATATTAGGCAAAAAATCATTAACATGTCTTTAGGTGCAGCAGCTCTGGATACATCCATAGGACCAGATTTATACTTGGACTGCTTCTCTGCTGTATATCTCTTAAATATTACTTCATCTGAACAAGCAACATGTCTGTTAGACCCTATCCCAACTAGACTGTTCAAGGAAATCTTTCCTTTAATTAACACTCCAATATTAGACATGATAAACTTCTCCTCATTAACAGGCTACATGCTGCAGGTTTTTAAGGTTAATGTAATCAAACCCCTACTGAAAAAGCCTACTCTAGATCCAGGTGTTTTAATAAACTATAGGCCCATATCTAACCTCCCTCGTAGTACAGAGACAGCACTGGTGAAGGTCACCAATGATCTTATAGCTTCAGACAGTGGACTAGTTTCTGTACTTGTTCTGCTGGATCTCAGTGCCACATTTGATCCAGTGGATCACAGCATCTTATTACAGAGACTGGAATGTTTAATTGGGCTTAAAGGAACTGCACTAAACTAGATTACATCATATTTATCAGACAGATTCCAGTTTGTTCATGTTAATGATGATTCTTCCACCCGCAGTAGAGTGAGTTATGGCAACAGTTTAAAGCTACATCTAAGCAATGTTGAGGCAGGAAGAAAGAATTTTAATGGACGAAACGGCTACATTTTGATGCACAGAGATGAACTTAGACCTGTCCAGGTGAACCTGCCCTCACCCTGAGTCAGCTGGGATAGACTCCAGCTCCCCCACAACTCTAGTGAGGATTAAGGTGTAGAGATAATGGATGGATGGATGGAGATGAGCGTAATTAATGACTGGAGAGGGACTTTAAAACCCAAAACAAACACTGCATGTACGCGACTGTGGATGGTGTCTGATACTGTCTATCTTCCAGTATCTTGTGTCCAAAAACTGTTAAAACATATCAGTCAATTGCACTGTTGCACTGGGTTATTCATTATCAGGAACACACACACTGTAATTTAATTTTCTTAATTTTTTTTTTTTTCTTAAAAATTAAATTCTTGCTGCCTCAAATATTTACCTATAACACACCTATGTGGATTAATCCACTGCAAGAAGTAGTCACAACAAATGTTGAAATAGCATCCCATGTTCAGGGGCTATAATCCCAGACGTGGATTGGGTGTGTGTGTGTG